ATCTGCCATTTAAGAATCCACAAGATTCCAGTGTAGATGATATTTCCCCATAGTTGGATAATGATGTGAGACCAAATTTCATCAGAGTGCAATATCACAATGAGACAGTGGCCATTTTACCAATATCAAGACTGCTTAGTCTGAGATTAAAGGCTGTATCCTGTTCTATATGTTAGCCTATGTTAGTTGGGGCTTTAATTTTGAAGGGTCTTTGAAAGTTGAGAAATTCTGGGTTATCTTTCTCCCAATGAGCATGCTGTCACAATGAGAAAGTATAACTCTGGAGTTAGCAGTTACAGTGTGTGATGTCCTAGTATTGTTTTCTTTCAGTGCTACCTCTGTATAAAATCAGGAGGGGTGGCCATTGAGAATTTTGGGGTTAAGTGTCATTAATGCATTACGAACACTTGGCTCTGGTCTTTTGCTGACATTTGAAGCAGCAGTTTACATGTTCTGAACCAGGGTTTGAATACAGTGATAAGTAGAAGAAGATTAAAAAAAAAGTTTGAATCTTTACAAAATGGAGACCTTTTATCAGTTGGGAATATTAAGAATGTGATGTTTCTGTGTTTCCATTATGTAATTGAGGCTCAATTTGCCGTATTTTTTGGACTATAAGACGCACCGGTGTCTAAGACGCACCAAGATTTCAAAGAGGTAAGCAAGAAAAAAAAGGTTTGCTCTCCCCAGCCCACAGGAGCACTCTGCAGGCCTCCCAAAGCCTCTGCACGCCCTGTTTTTGCAAAAATGGGGCGCGCGTGGCGGGGCTTTGGGAGGCCAAAAATGCTGTATTAGGCGTATAAGACGCACCAACATTTCCTCCCTCTTTTAGGGGGGGAAAAGTGCATCTTATACTCAAAAAAGTACAGTATTTTTGTGACCAGGAATGCTTATTACACATATGGGTAACTTCATGCTTAAGTACTGTAGTGTGTTTGCACTTGGTCTAGAACAGTGATGGTGAACCTTTTAGGCACAGAGTGCCCAAACCGGAAGGTGTGCGTGTGAGCACCAGAACACCAGAAACCCAACGACCAGCTGGCTGGCATGCATGCGCACCTCAGAAACCCATCAGGTTTCCAATGTGTGCATGCGCACTGGCCAGCTGGTTATTGGGTTTCTGGAATTTCACTTATGAATAAGATGTAAAGTTGACACCCTTGAATCGATGTATAAATATGGTTAGATTCCCAGATTCTGTAGTGACTGATTGTGATTATAAGAGTATCTCTCATATCTGCCTAAAAACAAACAAACAAACAAACAAACAAACTTATCTAAGGGAAGCTGATCCATGGCCTTCAATCATCTATAACTATGCTCCTGCGTGTGTGTTTGTGTTTCTTGAAAGTGATTTATTGCCACACTTAGGGTGAAGCCCAAATCAGTTTTGTTTTGTTTTCATTTTCCTCTCCTTCCTGTGCATGTTTTTAACAGTTGATTATTTTTCTGGTGCATTTTATGAATTCTAAACAGCTTGAGATACTGTAATATTGGAAGCAATATACCGTATTTTTCGGAGTATAAGGCGCACTTTTTTCTCCCCTAAAAGAGGAGGAAATGTTGGTGCATCTTATAAACCAAATACAGCCATTTTTGGCCTCCCGAAGCCCTACCCCGTGTGGGCCGTTTTTGCGAAAAATGGGCCTGTTTTTCGCAAAAACGGTGCACAGAGGATTTGGGAGGCTTGCAGAGTGCTCCTGGGGCCTGGGGAGGGCAAAAACCTTTTTTTCCCCCTTACTTACCTCTTCGAAATCTTGGTGCATCTTATACACTGGTGGGTCTTATAGTCTGAAAAATATGGTAGTAAACTGAGTATTAAGAAGAAATAGCCCTGACAATCATTGTTGACATTTTAAATATGTTCCCCAAAGCTGTTGGAAGAGAGAGTGACCTAGTTGCATAGATCACACTTCTCCAAATAGCTCTTATTATTTCCCCCTTAAAAGCCACAGTCATTATAACCATGATTACAGATCTTCTAACATAGTTACCTGTTGGTCTAGGACACCCAAGTTAATTTTCTAATCATTTAGTTTTGTGTAACTCTTTGCTGCCAATTACTGGATGTCTGCTAGCTGCTACCCAGAACAATAGTAATAGAAAACAGATTTGAATATATATGGCAATAAGGCCAAGCACTTATTTCAGGGTTCAAAAAATATATATATATATATATAAGACAGGGTCTTATTTATCCGGGCTCAGCTTGGATGTTTTGCTCATGATGCTCTCTCTTGGTCTTTGTCTTTTCTTGTAACTTTTGTAGTTTTGTACTGTAATCCATTGTTTTATTACAGATAATCCTCAATTTACAACCATTTAAAACAATGTCCATTAGAGTTAAATGGGGCTGACAGCTTTAACGAGTTAACAAGCACTTTTTTCTTTAACTTTCGCTTTCCATGCCCTTAACAAGCCATCGCCATTTTCTTTCAACTTTTTCCCGTTCTCATCAGACCCAGAAAGAAACAATATTCAGCTGGAGTTAAAGTTTGGTACTTGCAGTTATAATGTCTCCTGTCTTTGCTCTGCCTGCTTTTAATCCAAATGTTGTTAAGAAGTTGCTTGCAGGGATGGTCGCGGCGTCTTGTTCTGCATAAAGCAGACACGTCCCGGATTCGGAGCTCTACCAGGTTCCTGGGGAGCTCTCACCCTTCGAGCTCCAGGATTGTTCCTGGAGCTCTTGGGGAGCTCTACCCGCACCCGGCTGCTCTCTTTCCCCTCTTTTCCCAAGGGGAAAGATTCCAAGCCGCTAGACAGCTGATTTTTGCTGTTCTAGCAGCTTAACGAAATCACGGGGCTAGCGCTCCCAAAGGAGAGACCGCCGACACCTGAGGAGCCACCGGAAGTCCTGCAACTGGCATTATTTATGACAGTTGTAATATCCTGGGATCATGTGATCAATTTTTGTGATCTTCTGACAAGCAAAGTCAATGGTTCCCCAGAAGATCACAAAAGTTGATCACATGACCCAGAGTCACTTAATAACTGTGTTACTATTTAAGAACTGCAATGATTCACGTAACAACTGTGGCAAAAAGGGTTTTAAAATTGGACAAAACTTACTTAACAACTGTCTTGCTTAGCAACAGAAATTTGGAGTCGTAAGTCAAGAACTACCTGTATATATTTTGCATTTTAACCTTTTATTCTAAAAAGGAATGTACATAAACTCCAGCAGCTTATGTAGAATAATATGGAGATAACCTTGATAAAGATATGCAAGAGCTATTAAGGGGAAAGTAAAAAAAACAGCTCTACCTGGGAAAGGGGAAGACTTGAGAAATCCCTCTTAAAGTGTATTTATTTAATCAAATTTAGACGCTGCCCATCTCACTATCCAAATGGGTGGCTTACAAGTAAAGATCATGATGATGATGATGATGATGATGATGTTATCCATTCAAAATGGATAAAAAGGTATAGATCATAAAACCATGTAAAGAGAGACAATTAAAATAGACTAAAAGAAAGACAAGGAACAAGGAAAAACAAACATTAAAAAGATAAGTGAAAATGCTGAGGGAATGCCTTCAAGGTACCAATCACTTCCAAGGAAACATGGTGCTGTTTGATCCCCATATGAGTTGTCAGTTGTCAGAGCCAAGTCTTCATGCTCTTCGGGAAGACCAAGAGAGTGGGAGGGTCAACATCCCCCCTGGGGCAAGGATGTTCCATAAGGCAGGGGAAACAGCACAGTAAGAACCTCTTCTTAGACTTCACCAAGAAACTAAGTTCTTTAACCGATAGGGTCAGATATTGGTCCTGCCATTGCCTGTTGGATTACTCATCAGAATTTGCATGCTGTGCCTTTAATATTGTTCTTACTGTCATAGAAGGAAGCCTGTCGCTATATATAAAATGATGAAGGCACAAGTGTCCAAACTGCGGCCACAGATTTTTCAGTGATAAACTAAATAAACTGTCCTTCTTCCTACCTGTAGAATCACAACAAGATGTAAAATGATTTAATTTCGTTGTACGAGGTGCAATTACAATAAAGTGAACTTAAGAGATTTTGATAGTTTGCTTGCTGAAATTGCCTTGTTTATTTTTTTTTGGCTTCTGGGCTATCTTGTGTTCAAATTTAAAGTAATTGGGAGTCACCTAGTAGCTTTTTTTTTACGCTATTTGAGTAAAATAGACTTACGCAGTGGTGGGCTGCAGCCGGTTTAACAACCGGTTCTGTGAGCGTGTGCATTCGTGTGCCTAATGCGCTTGCGCGCAGTGTTCAAAATACAGCAATTTGAAGCTCAGTTGCTTACCTTCTAAGGCAGCCCAGGTAAGTAGAACAGTGGAGGCGTGGAAATCAGCTGTGCCGCACGAATCAGCTGAGCCAGAAAGAAGGAAATATAGGACAGGATAGGGCGGGGCTGGGGCCAGCTGATCATCGGAACTACCAATTTGCTCGAACCGGCAGCAGCCCACCACTGGACTTACGGAAGCATTCACATGGATACTATTAGAGCCTCACACTTTTGTGCAAGCCAATCAATCTTGACTAATAAAGGTTTCAATTTTTATGCTTGGAATAAATTCCATTCATGCAATTTTAAATAAAATATGTAATTTGGTTCCTTTGTGGTATCCTAGATGTTAAAATACATTAGGGTCAAGAAGGGTCAGGGTGAGGGATTCCAAGCTATTAAAAGGCTCTTCGCAAAAGCTCTTTTCTTTGAAGACTTGCTAAGGCAACCATATGGCTTTTCAGATTTACTACTTGCAGGGTTCTCTCCAGATCATTTTAAGGCTTGGATTTCTAAGAAATGATGGGTTATGGTGGATCATTCTGCCATCCTGAATACAGTATTGAGAATATGGTTAGATTCCTAAATATATTAGGACTTATTGAGGCAAAAAGTAAGTTTCAGCAACGGACTTTATATGCTGAACCTTGCACTCTGAAGTATTCCTCAAGAAAAGTGATTGATGTCTATGGCAGACTTTGCAAGATGAAGCTTAATAAAAAATAAATGCATTTTTTAAAAATTTTTCAGGCAAGAAGAAAAATCCAGGTTTGAAAATTCCTAAAGAAGCATTTGAACAACCACAGACAAGCTCAACGTATGTATATCTTAATATTGTTATGGTGGGTGGGTGGGGGACACGGAGAGGGGGCTGGAGCAGTTCAACCTCAATCCCCTCTTAATTCCATGAGTTTCAGCAGATTTTAACAGATCTGAAGGGTGACTGCTGGAGTGGCTTAGCAGCTCCCCTTTGTTGCAAGTGCCAGGTTTGATTAAAAGTGAGAGCAAAGAGGACCTTTGACGAGAACTAAGGTGGTATGTGCTAATTCAGTGGGCTTATATTGCACAGAATTAATAACCAGCCAGGTGGTGTTGCCTGCAAAACCTGGACTGTGATACTGAGATCTGGAAAATATGTTAATAAGTCTTTAACTCCTATCCTTACATCTGTCCTTACATCTGTCCTGTCCTTACATCTTTAGGACAGGCTCATAGGAGTTAAGGGCCAGGGATGAAATCCAGTTTTTTTTTTTACTACCAGTTCTGTGGGCGTGGCTTGGTGGGCATGGCAGTAGAAGGATACTGCAAAATCTCCATTCCCACCCCACTCCACGGGAAGGATATTGCAAAATCCCCATTCCCTCCCCACTCTGGGGCCAGCCAGAGGTGGCATTTGCCAGTTCGCCAAACTACTCAAAATTTCCACTACTGGTTCTCCAGAACCTGTCAGAACCTGCTGGATTTCACCCCTGTTAAGGGCTTATTATACTGTAGGTTGCTGGACGTTTGTGGAAGTGACAGAGGTTTGATAATTGGCTGGAAGTTTTTCAGGTCTGTTCAGAGTTTCAGGAATCAGCGGATTAAGAATTGTTTGGAGCGAATCTCTGGATGATTCAGTAGGTCATGGTTGTCAAACTCGTGGCGTCATGTTGTCGACTTTTCCCCACTTTGCTAAAATGGGGGTGGGCGTAGCCAGCGCATGACGCATCTGGCCCAAGGGGCCGCACGTTTGACACCCCTGCAGTAGGTAAAGTTGCCTGTCTCCTGTACTTGATCAAGGGCCAGCTGGAGCTGTATAGTCAGGTGTTGCCATGCTCTATCTACCCCAGTGCTTGTCCATCAGACCTAATTGCCCTAGTTTCCAGCTGTTAGTCCTGAATACATGCTTGGCTTGAAATAAAGTTTCCCTCATCTACAATCTAGCAATAGCACTTAGCAATAGCACCTAGATTTATATACCACTTCACAGTGCTTTACAGCCCTTTCTAAGCGGTTTACAGAGTCAGCCTAATGCTTTCAACAATCTGGGTCCTCCTTTTACGAATCTCGGAAGGATGGAAGGCTGAGTCAACCTTGAGCCAGGAAGAATCAAATTGCTGAACTGCAGACAGCCAGCAGTCAGCAGAAGAAGCCTGCAGAACTGCATTCTAACCACTGCGCCACCACGGCTCTAGTTGTGCATGAGAGAGTCAACCTTGCATGTATTAAGTGAACCTGGCAGGACATGGGGCAGAGGTGGGGTGCCCCTCTTGGAAATGTGGCCATCAATGTTTTGTTTGGCAGGCATCTCTGGGGTAGGAGCAGTGGTGTTGCGATTGTCATTTGAAGGGGCTCCAGTGGCTTCTGGGGCTACTGCTCTGTAGAAACCGGATATGAGATATGTCTCATGAAGTTAAACTCTAGAGATCAGCTAGATCATTATTTTTAAAATAATGACAGAGTAACTCTCAAAAATAAAGATATATATACATATAAATAAATATATATTGTCAAAGAAAAGAAAAAATACATGAAAAGTGTTTTTAAAAGGTATAATACATCATTTTAGCTGTAAATAGTTTACAATACATGAAAAGTGTTTTTAAAAGATATAATACATCATTTTAGCTGTAAATAGTTTACAAATCTATATATAATTATATATCTACCATAGTACATATATACTTTTGAAGAGTCCTTGGTGTTCTCCCCTCATTTTAACCCTGAGCTACAAATATTTTGTTGATTTTTTTTTTTTTGATAAGCAAACTGGTAGATTAAAAAGCAGCACAAATTATGCACAGAGAGATATCCTTTCATTGTGTATGTGGGAAATCACAGCACAGTTGATGAGTGCTAGCTTTTGCATCACATTTTAGGATATTGGGATCATTAAACTGTCATATTCAAGAAGCAGTTCTTGGATTACTTTTACTGTACATTGCATTCTAACAAGCTCACTGCTTGAACTTTTTGACTCTTTTAGTTGTGGAGTTTTCATTCATTTCAAAGCTGTGACGTAGATGAAAATGTCAGGCAACATTTTCTTGCTTGATCTGCAACGATCACCAGGAGGAAAACCAAGTTTCTCTTTGCTGTCTTGTCTCTTGTTTTCTGGGTTTGTGTGATGTCTTCCATAACCGTTAGTTTCAAAGTCTGATGGGGCCTGGAAAGCCTTTAAAGTCCTTTCCACAGCTTCCAGGAAAAAGATAATGTTTGCCTAGTGTGCAGGGTCATGGAGAGTGACTTGGAGCCTTGACATTTGCTGGATTAATGATTACTTGAGGATACCTTGGCAAATTTGTTAGATAACACAGAGACTTACTTTACTGAATTGTGTCAAGCTGTCCTTTCTTTCTAATTTGGCAATCAGCTAGGATAACAACCTTTTTTTCCACTTGCTCCTGACTGTGTCTGCTGTATTTCCTTTCAAAAAGGAGGTCTGTTTTAGCTTATAACTTCCTTTGGATGCAGTTTCCAAGACTTCATACAGTATCTGCTTTTTTCCCGGGCTTCCCTCTTCTTTCAATTGATAACAAGGCATCCAAAACACACAATAAAAGTACAGTCTCCACCAAGAACCTGATACTGCTCTAGCAATCAATAGAAGGACTTCTTAAGGCTGAATGTTCTCTTGTGACCAATTTCCTAGAGCAGAACCTCTTCTCCTTTCTTTAGCTTTCAGTTGGCCATACCTACATCATTGACAAATGTCTGGAAATTAATAGCAACTCAGGTGTGACTGTCTCACCAGCAGACATTAAATAAGCCCACGGTAGGGAAGAAGTTACCAGTTTAAAGCTAATGTAGAACGATCAACGGATAAATTGAGGTGGACAAGATTATTTATGAAGACTATGTAAAAATAACGCTTCGATAAAGATACAGATTTACAGGGGCTTCCACTGTAAATAAGGTGTCATATGTATAGTTGCATTGTTCCGGTGTTCACATGTTACATTTCTGGTTATTTGATGTGACCCATCACAAGAGTCTACTGCTGTTTCTATCGTCTTGTCCTAGTGCCTCTTAGCGTTATGATAGCCCCTAACGGACTATTTTTTTTCAAAGTGTGTTTCTTCAAGGTTCAGTGACTGTCCTCTTTGACCAGAAACTAACACTCACTGCCCTAGTTTTCTGCACTATAATCAATATGTCTTGCAGATATAGGGCACTAAATAAAATCAACATCAACAACATTAATAAGTCAGGAAAGTGGGAGAGGGTCTTTAACCTTCCCTGCTTATTAATCCTAACCTATTATCCTATATATAAATGTATGGATGTGTGTGCAGGCTGTCATTTATTACTCCCTCATATAATGTGACCGGTAATGTCTTAAAACTGGTCCATTCCAGTTCTGTGGAATATCTGCTGGAATTCACCGCACGTTGTGATGACACAATATTTTCCCACTTCACATTATTAACTGCTGCTGATTGGGAACTGGATAGGGAGTAATGATGATTGATAGCTGTTCCATATTTACCCCAGTATCAAAATTTAGCTCTGAAATATTCATGGAAGTTCTAAAAATTATTCTAATGTTATATGAGGCAAACCATTTAAAACAGACAGCGAATATATTTTCAGAACTGTATTGCTATTTAGGAGTTCTGAGTTATTTAAGCAACCTTTTTTTTAAATGAACAATTTAAGAAAAGGAAATACCTATTTGAAATTTGAAATACAGTAAGCAAGTTTCCGTTGATACCAGAAGTTGAAAATTCAGGAGAAGGGAAGGGGAAGTAGAGAAGAGAAGAAGAAAGTTGGGGAAAGAAAGTTGGAAGGAGAAGAGGGAAAGGCTAGTTTGAGGAGAAAGATTGCTGTACAATAAAAAAAAAAAGATGGAGTGGAAGAAAGGCAGCTCTGAACAAACAAATATAAATATATTAAGAAAAAGAATGAATTGTTTAAGAATAAAAGAGGATAAATATGTACAAACAGTAAAGTATAGAAATACTGAGGTATATTCAAAAAAAGGAAAGGGGGGAAGACGATGTTGACAAAAATTGTAATTGAGTAAAATGTATTTGAATTTGACTAATTGTATAAGATAAGAAACGACCAACACTCTGTTCAAAAACAAAAAACAAAAAAAAGGAAAGATGTGGGTGAAGGTGGGAGAGGAGAAAAGAAAAAAACCCAATAAAACTTGTTTGTTTGTTTTTTTAAAAAAAGTTGAAAATTCATGGGCACATGGATTTTGGATTACGTTGAGGAATTCAGTTTAACATCTTCTGCAGGATCCAATCTGGGTCGGACTCATGCTAGAACCCATCTTCAGGCAACTTCTCTCTAGCAGAGTGTGTGCTGTTCTGTGTGTGGTATTTATAGTTGTAAGTGGCTTTTTAGATGTTGATTGGGGTGTGTTGATGGCTGGCTTTTAAGTCATTAGCTTTTGTTTGCTTGTGCTGCCCAGCCCTTTCCTTCTAAGTACTTGATAGGCTGGTGGTAAAGCAGCACTCCTGTTGACAGACAAGGGACCTGTTTCCCAGGCTTCAATCACTTCCCTGGCTGTTTTTGTGCCTGCTTGTCCAACAATCTTGGTCGCTGCAAAGTTGAATGTGTGTCCTTGTTCATTGCAGTGTGAGGCTACCAACAAGTTCGGGTCTCCTTGTTTGACCGCTTGCAGTCTGGTCTGAAAGACAATGGTCCCGGTGACTGACCCAGATTGGATCCTGCTTTATTATACTGGGACACATATATTCCCTTCATTTGTTAACATCTTCTGATTTTTCTGTGTTAAGTTGTAGTTGACTTAAGCAGGAGTTCTTTTAAAAAGAAACATTGCTGGTCTTTTATAAAAGAAGGGATTTATGACAAAGTTCATCAGTGTTCAGGTTAGTTGGAGCTATTTCTGTCATGGATAATGCAAGATAAATAAGGTATTTTCCAGGTAAGCCTACTTCTCTCTGTAATTCATCAGATCAGATTAAATGAGCAAACTTGAAGATTTACAGTATATCTCTCTAGGCACACAATTAAAATAAAACAGAGTGTTAGGAGAAAGAAGTCATAATGAACCCTAACTTCAGCAGTAGGTAAGAAATGAAGGCCAAACATAATATGTGGATCTTTTGTGGTGAGTAAAAGTTATTTTGAGGAATTCATAATTTAGAGGAATTATTTATTCTTTCTTTATTTTTCAGACTATAAGATGCTCCAGACTATAAGATGCGCCTAGCTTTTGGAGAAGAAAACAAGAAAAAAAAATCTGCCTCTGCTTCCCAGCAGTTTGCCTCCTTGCAGCAAACAGCAAACAGCCTGGTCAGCTTCAGCACAGCCTGATTTAGCACTAGCAGCTGATTGGCGGTTGGATCTGCCTCCTGGAATACCGTCTATCAGTTGTTCCAGGCTGTGGAGATTGCTACCACCCATCACCACTGCCTCTATCCACATGCCCCATTTTTGGCCTTCGTGCGTCCCATTTTCGGCCCGTTCCAGGAGGTGGGGATAGGCGGTGGGGGCAGTGATCCCCGCTGCCTGGAACAGGCCGAAAATGGGGTGCGCGGAGGAGGCGATAGGCGGCAGTAGTGATGGATGGCAATGGCGGTGAGGGGCGGTGGCAATCCCCGCAGCCTGGAATAGCTGATAGGCGGTATTCCGGGAGGCAGATCCAACCGCCAATCAGCTGCTCGTGCTAAATCTGACTGTGCTGAAGCTGACCAGACTGTTTGCTGATTGCTGCAAGGAGGCAAATTGCTGGGATGCAGAGGCCGGCGGGTGGGTGGGGCTTCGGCAACATTCACTGTATAAGATGCACAGACATTTCCATCCACTTTGACGGGGGGGGGGAGTGCAACTTATACACCGGAAAATATTGTAAACTATACTTTGGAAGTCCTTTGAATAATACAATTATTGCCTTTTTATAGTTGCTGCTGCTGCTGCTTTTTTTTTTAGTTCTTAACATTAAAAAATGTTCAGTGTTTTATTGATCATTATACATATATTTATTAAAAATATTTTTAAAACCTTAAATAGAGATAAAATTTCTTGTGATAACTAATTACTGGCAACCCCTAGCCTTAGATTCATATTTTAAAAATTACTAGATAGGAAATTTACATACACAATTAATAGTTTCTTTAAAGAGCAATATTTTCAAAGTATACAATTTAAAAATGTATTAATTTCCAAACTCTCTTAATACTTTTTTTAAAAAATCAGTCCAAATCAGCATTTCTTCTCTGAGTAGATTAATGCATTTTTCTATACAGGTATTTGTAGGTGTGAATTTAAGTGCAAATCAGATTATTTTCTGATTTTACTTTTCTTAATTTCACAGGCCGCCTAGAGATTTGGATTCCAAAGCTTGCATTAATATTGGAGACAAGGTATGGTCAAGATAAATTATGGTGGGCAGGTCTGTGTGTTTGTTGGGAGGACTAAGATGGAAATTAATGAGTAAGTGAATAGGGATGAATACAGTAGTCCTATAAATGTGTGTGTGTCTCTCTCTCTGTATGTAATTTTATTTCTCTGTCTTGTTATTTACATTTTTATTTATTATATCCTTTATCCAGTGGTGAAATCTAAAATTTGTTACTACCGGTTCTGTGGCCGTGGCTTGGGGGGGGGGTAATATGACTAGGTGGACGTGGCCAATTTTTTGTTTTAACTTTTAAAACCAATTTTTCTACAACCTCTTCAGCGAAGAGGTTGGAAAAAAATGCTTTCAAAAGGCTCTGACGATCCTAGCTGAATTGCCTGATCGACAGAGGCTTTTTTTTTTTAAATAACTCTGACGATCAGGCAACTCAGCTTGGATTGTCACAGGCTTTTTAAAAAAAAATGCCTCTGCCGATCAGGCAACTCAGCTTGGATTGTCAGAGGCATTTAAAAGAAAAAAAGGCTATTTTTCTTTTAAATGTCTCTGACGGTCCAAGCTGAGTTGCCTGATTTTCAGAGGCATTTAAAAGAAAAAAAGCCTCTGCCGATCAGGCAACTCAGCTGGGATCGTCAGAGCTTTTGAAAGCATTTTTTCTACAATCTCTGAAGAGGTTGTAAAAAAAATGCTTTTAAAAACCTTTGATGATCCCAGCTGAGGCGCGCGATCATCAGACTTTTTTTTTAACTTTTAAAAGCATTTTTTCGGCCGAAGAGGTTGTAGAAAAAATGCTTTTAAAAGTAAAAAAAAAAAGCCTCTGATGATTGTGCGGCTCAGCTGGGGGGTGGGGGAGGCAGGGATTTTTGCTACCGGTTCTCCAAACCACCCGCCTCCATCGCTACCGGATTGGGCGATCCAGTCCGAACCGGGAGCATTTCATCCCTGCCTTTATCTGTTTAATCCAGCATTCAAAAAGCTTTAACATTTTAACATGATGTGGGGTGCTTTTACAGGCATTGAATTAACTTTCTTTTAAGAGCATCAATATAGGTTTTTGATTGAGCAACCATTCATAGTTACAATGCTGATGTTTATGGGGGACTTAAAAATGGACATCAGAGCTCTAGCTTTGCCAGTGTCACCACGGCAACATGATGGCCAGTGCCCACCTTGCAATTATGACATTACAGTAAGCCATGATCAAATGATTGTGTTTTCCAACGTTTTCTGATGGCTTCCTATAAGCAAAATCAATGGGAAAGCCATTGGGAAATCAAAAGTTCTTCCTGTTCCTGCTGCTTTTTCACCCACCTGTATTCTGCAGTGCCTGCCTGGACCTTGGCTGTGATACCTCCCCCCACAGCATCCACACACTTGCCCATAATCCAGAGTGCTTGTGTCAGCACTCCAAACTGCATTCACTCCAGTGCTGACATAAGAAGGAGAAGGTGGGGCAGGAGGACATAAGAAGGAGAAGGCATCTGGCAAGAGGACCATAACCCCCCTCTACCTGCATCTCTCACCTATGGTGAAATCTGGTGCTGAATTACGTCTGAAATGATCTGGAGAATTGAAGAGGGATAAAAATGAACTATTCTTTTGGGTTCCAAAGAGAGAATATCTCTTGTGCAAACCACTTGTCTAATCTAGTGAAAGGAGGGAAAAAAAACCTATGCAAGAGATCAGGCACACAAAAGCAAAATTATTTAATATGTGAAAATCAAGTGTTTAATTATTTCCCTTTAGGGAAACAACGTCCAAGAAAATGGAGAGTTAAACAGCTCACCTGTTTTGGCTGAATTGGAATGAAGATCTGCCTTTTAACTTCTGTTTTGTTTTCTTGATTTTATTTCTTCACAGAACTTTGAAGTTAAAGCCGATGACCTGGAGCCAATATCAGAATTAGGACGTGGTGCATATGGGGTGGTAGAGATGATGCGACATATGCCCAGCGGGCAAATAATGGCAGTGAAGGTAGAGTAAGATTCTCTCCTGGTGTGCATTAACCGTCCAAATTCACCCCTGCTGTTCTTCAGGATTTTGAAACAGCAAGGTGGATGAGATCAGGCCAAAGTGCAATGGTCAAAATTTAATTCAGTTTTGAAAGCTCCAAATGGCTCATTTGTATATTGGTGAATCATAGGTTGTGTAGTTCTACGCACATGCAGTCATTCATAAAATTTGATCCAGTATCCGCATTATAAGTCCTGCTTCCATATTTAAAAATCAAATGTTCCTTTATATTTTTTCTCCCTTTTGTGATAGATTGGCACACGGGAATAGGCTTTAGAAATTATTTGTGGTTCTTTTCCTTACCAATTGATATATAACTGTTATCGTGTTGGCTTTTTTCTAAGCCTTTGGCTGCTTATATTGGAAACAGTTTTTTCTTACCATGACTCAAAAGAGTTCTGTAATTTATTTATTTATTTTTTGTTAGAATGAGTGGAATTATATCAAGTACTAGCAAACTACATTTCATAAAAGCTCATAAAATGTATGACTTTTTGTAACTGTTTCCTTTGTTAATAAAGTCATCAATGGATGATCCAAATTGACATTTTGGGATTGATTGTCATCTGAATAAAGATAAACAATATTTTAAATATGAAAATTTAAAACAGAAAGAGAAAGAAACATTGTGTCCCCTTTCCACTTAATTAAAACACTTGAAAAAGAATTTCCTGCATATATTGATGCCAGATTCTACTGAAACTGATTAGCATACAAAATATAATTGATTATGACTAAAACTTCCTTTCTAAAAGCTGTGAGAATGGTAAGGTATGCCTTCGGGGAACAGACTAGGGCTTGTTTTTAAGCAATTACAATAACATGAAATATAAATTTTCTATGGAGTGCCAAACTGCCTATCAGTTATATTAGTCACAGATTCCAGCTGTTTTGACAACTACTAGCCTGATACAAATATATTACTGAATCCAAGTTACTGCTAAACCATAGTGTAATTCCTTAATATTTTGGTAATATCCAGCTATAGGGTCAAATCATGGTTTAGCTTGTTGAGATAACCAATGCCTAATGGAAGATACTGAGGTCAACAAAGACCTGCTTATCCCTAGTGAGCACAGAGACTGGAGAAGTATGAGAGCCCACTCAATTGAATCATGGATAGCAAGAATTCGGCAGCTAACCCTAGATACACACACACACACACATCCCTTTCCCATGAAAACAAATGGCAGAATCCTGGCAGAGTGCATCAAAACTGCCATGCAAGCAAAGAGCTGTGTTGGATTGGGGCAGATGAAGAATGCCTTCCTAAACCTGGTGCTCTTTCTGTGGTCCCTCTTCACCCAGTGCTCTGCCATTGTTGCTTTGTTAAGGATAAAAGTCCCAAGAAAGCAAAAATAAATAAACAGAGAGGGGAAAAAGACAGAAAAGCACTTCTGTAATAACGATCATCCTTTGCCCTTCTATAGCACCTCACATCCGAGGATCTCACAGTTCACCCCAGACATAAATTACGCCTGTGAGGTAGGTAAGTGTTAGCATCCCTATTTCACAAAGGCACAAAGAGGCTTTTTAAAAAGCTTCATATTGGAGTGTCTGTTATGGGGCACTTGTAGCCTAAGCTTATGTTTATGCACTCAGTAGTAAGTTATACTGGATTTCAAAGAAGTTACTCTCCACCACCACCGGGTAAGTGTGCCGAGGACTGCAGCCTTCTTATTTAAGGCCATAAAAACACTGAGTTTTGTCAAAGGATGCTGGGATTCGGGGGATTAAAGACTCCTCTAAGCCACAATGTTGGCTGGCTTGAATTTTTGTTGCTGCCATCTTTAAACTAACCTAATTTGAAGGCTTCCTGCTTCTGAGGGTGGGCCAGCAGGTATTTATTTCTGCTTGTCCTGCAATAAAAAAGATGAGCTACTAGAAAAATAACTGGTTAAATTTGCTTGATAAAATAAGCCAAACTGCTAAGTCTACCAATGTAATGCTACTGCTGTGAAAACAGCATTGGCTGCCCATTAATTTTGCGGTGTGATCCAAAAGGTAGTTATTTTCTTTAAGCACCTACAGGGCTAATGGCCTGGGCATGTCTGAATCTCTCTCTTTGGTTGATTCTATTCATCCAGTAAGATCAGGAAAGAGATTAGGTATAAGCAAAATGCCCAGATATTCAGAAATTTTAGATAAACAGGGAAAGCTTAAAAACAATCAGGTACTAAAGAAACGGAATATCTGTCGACTGGTGGCCATATTTACAACTGCAATCTAGAGAGAAGAAAGACATGGAAGAATACAGAATTGACATAGAACCAAAACAACTAGATAAATTGTTGATAGGCCCCGAAGGAAAATTAATATCCAAAATATACAATTATCTATTAGAATTTGATAGAGTAGAGGAGGTGGTGAAAGAACCGATGATTGCATGGGATAAAAACATAGGGCATAATATAGATTTAGAAGATTGGGAAAGAATTTGGAACAAAAATTACACTATAACAAAATCTGCTGCTTATAAGGAAAATCAGTACAAAATGCTTTACCGTTGGCACATAGCTCCAGCAAGGCTGGCTAAAATGTATTTGAATCTAAGCCCAAATTGTTGGAAATGTAACCAAAGTCAAGGTACCTTCTTTCATGCTTGGTGGCTATGTCCTGAAGCGAAAAAGTACTGGACTAAAATACAAGGATGGCTACAAGAGCTAATAAAATGTCAAATAGAATTAAAACCGGAAACATTTCTCCTGGGAATACTTAAAATAAAATTTGATAGAAAGATAAGATATTTGATTCTACACATATTAACAGCGACAAGAATTGTGTTCGTGCAATACTGGAAGCAATACACCACCAAAGGGATTGATCATTCAAAAGATATATGAATGTGACAAAATGGATAAACTAACCCTAGAACTAAAAGAAAAAGATGATTTGGAATTTTACGCGGTTTGGAAAAAATGGTATACCTGGATAGACTATAGAAATAAAAATTGGAAATATACATAAGGCTATTGAGGTTTAGATATTGAATGTATATAATGTATATATTGTATGGAATGTTGATCTGAAGTATATAAAAATGACACAGTCTGTTGATTATGTTCTAGAGTTGTGTAAAGGAAAATTGTAATAAAAATCATTTTTTTTAAAAAAAAGGAAAGAGAAGGTTTGGATCTGGTAAGATCTCTTTGAGGGAATGTCATCATTATGACAGCCAGGTTGTTGTCTGATAAAGCATCCATGATTAAGAATAGGAAGAGTGAACATGTAAACTGACTCTCTTTTCCAGCGAATCCGAGCAACAGTGAATAGCCAGGAACAGAAGAGGCTATTGATGGACTTGGACATTTCTATGAGAACCGTAGACTGTCATTTCACTGTCACATTCTATGGTGCGCTATTTCGAGAGGTAGGACTTACGACCGTCTCACACTTTTATCCAGGACATAGAAAATTATACTAGATTGACTGGATGGTCATTTAGCCTGGGAGTGGGCAACCTGCTGGGCTATTTCTAGTTTTGTCCTTCATTTGACAACTGGTTGGATCTAAAACCAAATAATGCATGGATTTCAGTTACTCAAACTCCATCCCATCTTATTATTTAATATGCCTTACAACAAACCAAAATACTTCAGTCTGTAATTGCTAAAGATTATTCAGAAGGGGGGGGTTGTACCTTGTGAAAAAAGCTTTAATAACCATCAGAGAGCTTGCTGTGGTCAAATAAAGCCGAAAGCTCTTCTTTAAATCATTTGCAAACAGCACACAACCAGTTGTTACAGTAAAACCCCAGGAGACAATTCAGTTAATACAAAATATCTTCAGTATATACAAAAAACAAAACAAAACAAAACCAGGCACGGACAGAAGGTTCTGAACAACAAAATTTCATTTGACCTAGAAGATGAAAAGCTCAGTGGAGAATAGTATGTGTTTTCATCCAACAATGAAAAATAGCAAAAGAGGTATTGGAAGGATGTGTAATCCCTAAAGAAGAGTTATGCTGTTGGCAGATCTGCATGACATTCGTTGGGCTGCAGTAACTATGGCTGTCTTAATGTACCAGACTATGATGCTAGACCAGTGGTTCCCAACGTGGGGCCCACGCCCCACAGGGGGACAATTTGATTTTTAATGGGGGCAATTTGAACCTTGTTTAAACCAAGTTAATGGCCTTTTAGGCTTCCTCTGTGTGAGTAGAATTCACTTTTTAAGTAAATAAGAATTATATGTCAATGGGGAGGTGGGGGGGCATCAGGATTTTAGAGATGCTTAGGTGGGGCACAGCCCAAAAAAAGGTTGGGAACCACTGTGCTAGACTTTTAAAATAGCCAAATCCTAACAACAATAACAAAAATGGCCAGCAGAACTTTCTTTCTGTATCCTTTCATCCTTTTCAGAAACAATCAAATTAAGCAGTGGTTTAAAAGGTAGACCTCTCTCTGGTTGAATTTTATTGATTAGACAGAGTTTTTAATCTGACAAGCAGCTTGTAAATGATTTATTTTCTCTTTGTACTATTATCTAATTTCTGGTGCCTTTCCCCCACACTTCTATTGCTCATTGCTTCCATCAATCAATCAGTCAATCTAAACAATTCACATTCCACACAACAGGAAAGGAACCTTTAACACATTCCAGCTCCCCACAGGTCACTCTAAAGACTACTGTGTGTAGTAGGAGGCCTTATTAAAAATCTAACCTAAGTCGACAATACATTTTTGGAGGCAATGCATATGTGTTTTGGTAAGGATGTGTTTTGGTGGTAGAAACTGGTCAAAGCTCAAAATCACTTATGTGTTCTCCCTTTCACCAATTCCCATTTGTCTAGGGCGATGTGTGGATTTGTATGGAATTGATGGATACCTCACTGGACAAATTCTACAAGCAAGTGATTGACAGGGGCTTAACGATTCCTGAGGATATCCTAGGAAAAATAGCTGTCTCTGTAAGTGCTTTACTTTTTAAAAATTCTCTTCCAAAAATGATTTAACATCACTGTGGTTGTAAGTCAGGGAAAAACAAAACAAACAATGTGGCCACACTGCTTAGCAACAGCAGTTCTGGCAGTCCCAGTTGCTGTTGTTATTAAATGGGGATCATGCGTACAGTGCTTTTTATGGGATTGTTTCTATTAATTAGTAGATCAGATATTGAAGATAAAATTTAATTTGGGCCTTAACTTTGCCTGCTTCAGGCATGAACCACTTCAGTTCAAATCCAAGGCAGAGTCCTTGTACAGAAAATTGCCTGCCAGGGGTTAGATAAATGATACAAGGGTTTCTGCGTTAAATACCTTGATATTCTGAGACTTAAAAAAAAAAGTTTGTAATTTGTATATTTTGGGCCAGGGTTCTATGAAATATGAAGGCATTTCTATTTGTTTTGTAAAAGTAAAAACCCCAAACAAATAAAAAAGTCTAAAAAAAAGGATTGTATTTATGTTTTGCTTAGCTGACTCCAATTGAGGTTGTTAATACCTTTTCCAAAACACTGGGGCTGAAAGTGAAAAAAAGAAAAGAAAAGCTGTAGGTTGGAAGCCAGAGCTGTCAATCACAGAGCTAGATTTCCTCCTTCTCTTTCTTCATACCTCTAAGGAGCATGGAGGGAAATGTAATTATTTGGTTTTACTAGTCTATCTTGTCTGCAATCTGCAGTCTGCAGCTTCTTAAACCCTTGAGGCAGGAGAAAGGTTCTGGGTGCAGCCTGATCTGCTTTGAGTCAGTTTGCAGACAGTCTGCCTCAATAAAAAACAAACAAACACATTTGAAAATGGACTATAGTAAAAGCAGGTGCACAGAATTATTATATAGCTATATTTCCTTAAAAGTTTCCTGGAATACATTGATGGAAGTGGTGGCAGTATTTTTGCTAATGGGGAAGAAACCATTCTCATGAAAGGAGAAGGTCAGGGCCAATTTAGGTACAACCAAAAAAAAAAAAATCTGTTTGACCTTTTGACCTTTTTTGTGTTTATACAGGTAGTCCTTAATTTACAACCACAATTGAGCCCAAAATTTATGTTGCTAAGTGAGAAATTTGTTAAGTGTGTTTTGCCCCATTTTACAACTTTTCTTCACACATTTGTTAAGAGAGTCTCTGCAGTTGTTAAAATAGCAGTTGTTAAGTGAATCTGGTTTCCCCATTGACTTTGCTTGTCCTGGGACACTGTGACCGTCATAAATATGAGTCAGTTGCCAGGCGGCTGAATTTTGATCAGGTGACCATGGGGATGCTGCATTGGTTGTAAGTGTGAAAAACGGTCATAAGTCACTTTTTTCAGTGCCGTTGTAACTTCGAACGGTCACTAAGCAGACTGTTGTAAGTCGAGGACTACCTGTACAGCAAGGTAACTGACAATGGGAGGCGCATATTATTTTATTGCAATCTTTGCTCATGAGATAGGGGGATTTTTAAGCTTATCCTGCTTGGTAAGCAGCGCGCTCTTCATCCCCCAGCTCTTTCTCTTCTGCAGGGGAAAAATAATCAGACGGATCCTTGCTGTAAAAAATATTTGATTCATTGGGAGACAGCTGGAATTCTAATCAAAAAAATTTCCCCCATAAAGGTGCAGAAAGGATGGGTAGAGTCTGACCCTTGGAAAAAGGACTCATTATATCAACCTTTAGCTTGGCCACGCTGCTAAGGGTGTTTGGCATGAATCATGTTTTATTACGTTGGTATTAGACTGCAGGCTCAGCATTCTTCTGCTGGTTAATTACCAAGATGCCCAACCCCAGACTGTCTCTACCTGAGGTTAAGTGTTGAAACTGGGGGGGATGTGTGAAGTTGTGCGCTGAAAATAACTATTTCTGCTTCAGCAGCTGCAGCTCATTCTCTCTCTTGTGTGTTTCAGATTGTAAAAGCATTAGAACACCTACATAGTAAACTCTCTGTAATTCACCGAGGTAAGTAAGCACGGACTTGGTGCTTCAATTCTCTTGCTTATTTCTCAGCTGTGAAAGAGGGGGCAGGGCTTTTTGATCTGTGTCATTTAACCCAGAACCCACAGCTATTTGTCTCTGCCTCCCCCTCCCCCCCTCTCTTTTTTTCTTCTTTGCCTTCCAATGCTTCTTGGATCTTGCCATTGACATTCAGCTCTGAAAAGCCATGATTTCTGTTTGGTTTTAAAGAAGCAGAATCATTCATTTAACTACTCTGGGTCCAAAGTGAATGATAAAGAAAACCCCCAGCCAAACATTTTGATTCGGCCCCCTTCCCTATGGGGATGTCACTGCAGCCCTAGGGCACTGGGCAGTAGTGCTTTTGCATAATAGTGGCTTCCTGTTTTCCCAGGTGTTTTTTTTTTTTTTTTCACCTAAAGCCTTTGGACAGACAGTGGAATGCCATGCTATTATTCTAAGGCGACTACTTTGTATTACATGGTTTAGAATAAGGGATTTTATTTTATTTTATTTTATTTTATTTTATTTTATTTTATTTTATTTATTTATTTTATTTTATTTTATTTTTATTTTATTTTATTATTTTTATTTTATTTTATTTTATTTTTTATTTTATTTTTATTTTATTTTATTTTATTTTATTTTATTTTATTTTATTTTATTTTATTTTATTTTTTAAAAATTATATTGCCGCTTACTCAGTGGTGGTGCGGTGGTTAGAATGCAGTGCTTCAGGCTAACTCACTGCTCACCCCCAGGAGTTTGATTCTGAAGGTGGACTCAGCTTTCCATCCTTCCAAGGTGAGTAAAATGAGGACCCAGATCGTTGTGGGCAATATGCTGACTCTGTAAACTGCTTAGAGAGGGCTGTAAAGAACTGTGAAGCAGTATATAAGTCTAACTGCTAGTGCTACTCACAGTGACTCAAGGCATCTTACAGGAGATTAAAAACACAATATAAAAGAAATATCTCCCCCGCCCCCCCAATCCCAGTTTGCAGACATCCAGGACAGAAAGATTTTCATTGCAGTAGCTTGATAAGCAGATAGTTACCAAATTAAGAGCCAGTTTTGACCTCAAAGCTCTGTGAAATGCTTCCTTGCCTTAGTGCTAATCAGAGGTCTTGTTTGTCTGTTTTCACAATAAGGCAGTGGTGGATGTTTTTCATATATTACTTTTTCATATATTACCATCTTTTCTGTCTGAATGCTGTAATAGATGGTGAATCCAAAATAAATAGATTAAGCTTTGTGACTGCCATGATCTCAAATCAGTGCTTATGTCATGTTACGCAAATCAGTGTTGCAGAGAAGGAGGCCTCAAGCATGTTCATGATGATTATATACCACTAGTAATAGCACTTATATACACTTCGCAGTGCTTTACAGCCCTCTCTAAGCAGTTTACAGAGTTAGTATATTGCCCCCCCCAACAATCTGGATCCTCATTTTACCGGCCTTGGAAGGATGGAAGTCAACCTTGAGCCAGTCAGGATCGAACTGCTGGCAGCGAGCTGAAGTAGCTGAATTAGCCAGCAGTAGTGCGCCATCACAATTTTATTGGTAGCCCTGACTTACCAATTGCCTTGTTTAGCTCTAAGTTATAATAGTGTAAAAAAAAAAAAAAGCACTGCAACCAATCCTTGCATTTTATTTATCTATTAAACAAATTTACATAGCCTCCCAACTCACACGTGGTGACTCCAGGCGGCATTTAAAATTTTTAAAATTCACAATTTAACCCCCCCCCACCCCCAGTTGACTTCAGAATCAAACAAGCCACTTGATTGGCTCTGAATGGAGTCTCCAGGCCCATTAATGACCCTTGCAGCGTCATGCGATCATGTGATTATCATTTGCAGGCTTCACAACTGGTTCGTGACAAGCAGAGTTAATGAAGGAGGTGGAAACAAAATAGTACATTGCAATCACATGGGATTTTTTTGCTTAGTGACTGTGGCACTTAATGACCAAAGGGGAAGTGAATTTATAAGCCCATCATGGGATATGCTTAGTGACACAGCACTTAGTGACTGAGTTGCTGGCCCCATTTGTGGTTGCTAAGCAAGGACTACTTGTATTATTATGAACTGTAGTTTAGTATGACATGTGACATTTGCTAGTGGATATTAGAGGGCCACTTTTAAAGTTAACTGCTGTAGTGTTTAAGAAGTTGGCTTAGGAGAGGGAGGAGACCCAGGTTCTCATCCTTCCTCAGCCACTGAAACTCCCTGGCTGACTTTGGGCTGATCTCTCAGCCCAATCTGTTTCACAGGGTTCTTGTGGGGAAAAAAGTATAAGCGAGTGTTATGCGTGCCATCTTGAGCTTTTGAATGCAAGGCAAGGTATAAATCAATTGGCCAAATAAGTAAGTATCAACAATTAACCATGTTTCATTTTGCTCCATGGAGAGAAGAAATTTTAAAGAAAGTACGTCTTCTCAGTGCCAGTTTCTAGGTTTTTCATCCTGATTTAACACACAGCTAAAAGCGTTTGCCCTTCTGTTTCAACTCTTATTAGCTGTTTCCTCAGTGTAAATTAATAACAGAATTATTGGTTGGAATAAATGCCAGACTACAGTCTATGGAAAAATACATTTGTGTGTGTGTGTGTGTGCGCGCGCATTTTGTGTGTAGAACCTTTTATTTTAAGCCAACAAATAAACTGTGTATTATTTTGGGTGCCCTCTGCTGGTGACAACCCATGTTAGCCTGCTTCCCTTTTCACCGTAATCTGCAACAAGGGAGGAAAAAACAAAAAGGAGTGCTTGCAAGCAATGACTTTCCGATGTAATTTATTTTGCAGATGTCAAGCCTTCCAATGTACTGATTAATACACAAGGACAGGTGAAAATGTGTGACTTTGGAATTAGTGGGTACCTCGTTGATTCTGTGGCTAAGACAATGGATGCTGGCTGCAAACCGTATATGGCAGTAAGTGCAGTGAATCGTGAAACCTTCAGGGCAAACTGTGTCACATCACTTTTTATGCACACAGTGACAGTTATTTGCTTTGTTTTATTAAATTTAAGATATATGTGTGTGTGTTTGTGTGTGCGTGCGTGCATTTGTATGTGCATACACATACATGGTATATACCTACACACATACTCTGGGTATCTGTGTATTGTTCAGTCACTAAGTCATGTCCAACTCTTTGCGACCCGTGTGTGTGTGTGTGTGTGTGTGTGTATGTGTATGAGTGTGTGAGCTGCTTGGTAGTCTAGTGAAGATACTTGCCTCCCACTTAAAATTCAATCCTAGGTAGTGACAGATGTTTTTCAGGGTGCAAAGAAAAGGTATCTGCTGCGAACTCCACGTGACATCAGGAAGGGCATCCGGCCAATAAGCACTCAGCTGTATTCAGTTGCCCTGACTCTAGCCTGAATTAAGAGATTACAGAGTTGTAAAAAGGGAGTTTTTATGTATGTACATATGTATTCTATATTTCTAATGTATTCAAGGTTGCTTTGCAGCTGAACACCAGGAAACACCATAGAAAAAGCAGAAATATCAGAAAAGCAGTAGAAGAATAAAGGTCTAAAGATTTGGCTTGATAAAAACATGTTAGAATGACTTTGGGCTTATCTTGTAAAATGAAGCAATGTTTTAGAGTAGCTGTTTTGCTCTAAGGTGCCAGGACTGAAAAGATCGTGTCTCAGCTCAGAACCTACCACGTTCTGTCAACGGGAGGGTCTGAAATAGAGACTCACAAGATGACTTTAGAGAATGTGACTTCCTGATGACCATTTCCAGCCAGTGATGTTGACCAAGTTCATAAATGATCTGTTTCAGAATACGGTTTTCTACAGCTTGTAATGTTAAGATACTTTACAACTACGGTAGTTATGATTACCTCTAATTCTTCTACAATGAACTTCTAAATGTATACTGCAAAAAACCAAGGTACCACCACCAATCTTCGGTCCCATGCCCTCCTAACCAATTTTCATGCTAGCACTGAAATTGGAGACATGGGAAGGGATTACTTGGACCTGTCAATTCCCAGTCTTCAAAACTAGGAAGAGGTCTAGTTATTATTCGGAACCATCATAGAGTTTGCAAAACATGTTAAACTGTTGTGGCTGGCTGGTGTGCTGCTTTCCTGCCATACATTCAGTCATAGGACTCTTCATTGGTTTCACATTCAAGTAAGTGTTCTAAGTACCTCTCTAGGATTAGATGATAGACCCAGATAGAAGCTGCTGCAGTAAGAACACTGGAGATAAAGAGCCACATACACATGTTCACTTTAAGCAGAAAAAATAATTTGATGTATTTTTCCAGTGGTGGCGAACCTTTTACTTACTGAGTCCTGAACAGGAACGTGCTTTGCGGGCTTTGCGCACCGCGCACCCTTGTGTACCATCTGCGATAATGCGCGGCTCCTCCACATGTGCTGCATGCGCAACCGCACCATCTGTGCATGTGCACAGCTTTCACGCATGCACACTAGTGTGTGCTGCTTGTGCAGTATCACCATATGCGCATGTGCACAGATTTTGTGCATGCAATGCATTCACGCAAACGCTGTCTGTGCATGTGCACACTGCGCACCAGTCATCTCACGCGGATGCACAAATGCGCATGCACAGGAGAGCTCCGAAGACCAGTTGGGTCCCCTGAATTGCGCGCATGCACACCAGAGGCCTGAACACCAGCTGGGGTGCGTGCGCATGCACAGTTTCAGGTGAGCTTGGCGATGGCTCGCGTGCCCGGAACAATGGCTCTGCGTGCCACTTCCGGCACGCGTGCCATAGGTTCGCCAACATGGTATTATTCAAACCAGAATGAGAACTTTGACTGTACGCAGACAAGGTGACATATCCCCCAGCCTTTCCTTTTCAGAGGCAGTGAAACAGCTGGATTGGGACTCTTGACCTTTCCTTTGGAGACCCTTGAACACAGGGAGAGTAATCGCTGTGCTCCATCATGTCATAGTGCTCCATGTACCTTTAAAACCCCAAAGAGCATTTAAGATTTACAGTATGCCCCTTACCCAACTTTTCATCAAGTAAGACTGGCTCAGATGAAGCGTGTTAGATTCTGTCGCAGTACAATGCAATAGGTGCCTTTGAGCAGTGCTGTAGCACTTTCTCAGCCTTCCTGAAGGGAATGTCTGGAGTTAGGTACATACATTAACAGTTCACACGTGGTCTGGTAATTACAACTTCTATTCTGGCAATTAAAGTCAGCCAAAAATGGTTGAAACCTGAATGAAATGGAAGTGAGATACAGAATGTGTGCAATCTGCAATGCATATTTTATTGGAAGTAAACTGCCTTCAACATCTTAGTGAAAATCTTATCTGAGAGTGTCATGAGACTCGGACATTAAGTATAGTTCAAAGTTGAACAAGTATATCCAAATAATGTTGATTTTTTTGGACTTAAGAGCAAACTTGGAGATTCTCATATTCCTTGGGAACAAGGAAACAGTCTAATCCGCTAACTTGTCTGAGGAAACAGGGAAGCGGTCTGATCTGACTAAACTATAGTTTAGAGGAAAGTAATTAAATATTGTTTTGTAAGTCTTCTAGTTTCCCTTTTCTTGATTTTTTTCCTATGTTCTTAAGAACTTCCCTCTCAATACCTTAATAATAATAATTAATTAATATTAAATGCATTCTGACACGTGACTACTAGAACTATAGTGCCGTATAAGCCTCTAGTTCATATTTTACAGAAATACATACACTTTCCTACATTTGCCTATAGATTCCTATGCCTTTGGCTGGAACTCTTTCAGCTTGCATACACTGAGCCAATTGAGAATTAAGCAGAAATGAATTTGTCACTGTCTCGGCTGCCTTCTATAGATCGTGCATGGGTGGTCATGCCATCTTAATACTATAATAAACTTACCAGGATTACAGGCAAATCTGCAAGGATCTTCTCCCATCACAATTAAGCAAAATGCATAAACCTGTCAGGGAGGATGCTCTGCTGAGAAATTTACCAAGCCTGCAGGGCTTTGGAATATTAACACTTGTTTTGGCTGCCATCTGTGATTTCTTCCCCTTTGAGGAGTCTTTGCAAGCTGCTGCTTTTTTCTTCTAACAAGATGTGATTATTGGCTTCAGAAAGCCTGCATGCTATCCCATTAAGGAAGACAACAGCATTTTTGGTTGCATTTTTTGGGGAAATACCCTCAAACTGGAGAATGTATAGGATGGGAGTTGTGCTACGTGTTTTGTTAAGATTGGCACCAGCTTCTCAAACCAAAAGCAAGATTCTCACACAGCTTTGTTAACAAGATTTGTTGAACTGAAACTAATTCGTACAAGAATTTCAAGAACTGATCATGCAGAACTTCTTTTTATCTCCTGGAATATCTTAAGAGTGGAGACTTACTCTACTTTCCCTTAATGACCTTCCCATAAAGTGGTGAAGAGGCAGATATCTGTGCAGAAGATGGAAGACCTTCTATCTGTCTTTATCAAACAATCTCCTGAATCTATTAGCTTGTAATGATCTTTACCTCAGGGTTTCTTCACAAAATACTTTACCCAGTCATTCTGGCAGCACACTTTCACCTTAACTGTTAAAAAAATCATGAGTTGGAGGAACGCAAGATCTTGCCCACTTCTTCCTGGTATCTGATAGCAGTGGCACTTAGACTTATATACCGCTCCACAGTGCTTTATGGCACTCTGTTCTGACCCAACCTTCACGAGCCCCACTCAACAGCCTATTCCCACTCAGCAGCCTACTTGTGAGGAGAAATCCCCCTTTTTTTTGAAAGGCAGGAATACATGGGATTCACTGACAAAACTCCAGGTCGCACATCTATAGGTGATTCACAAGCTATAGTGGTCTCTGAGATCCCGGGAGGGAGCCTCAATTAGCACTTCAGTCCCAACAAAAAGAGTCCTGACCAACCTGGTTAGTGGCAAGGAAATCCTGGCAAGAAATCCACCGGAGGGAACTCTTCTGGAGCATGAATGAATGTTTCCAACAACCACGCCTCCCACCCCCCTCCTCCTTATATCCCAGACAGGGAGGGCCTTGTTAACATCTCCTTTTTTTCCTGGATAGTTGGCCCTCAGTCCTGTGTTGATCTCTCTGCACTTCTCTGTGCATATGTGCATCTGGGACAGGACCCAGCTGTTCCTCCCCCTCACTCAGCTCAGGCCCCGGCCCTGGCCCCGGCCCCAAAAACAGCTCTCTCTCTCTCCTGAGCGTGAGTAGATGGGCCCTGCTCTGCGTCTGACTGAGACCTCCTGCTCCTCAGAGCCTTCTGCCGGCTCCAATGGTAACCCAGGCACTCACTCCATCTCCTCTGACTCGACTGCCATCTCGTCTGGCAGTCGAACCACGGCACACCCTCTGAGCAGCTTAAAAATGTCAGCCCCCAACAATCTGGGTCCTCATTTTACCAACCTCAGAGGGATGGAAGGCTGAGTCAACCAATCAGGATTGAACTCCTGGCAGTGGGCAGAGTTAGTCTGCAATACAGCATTCTAACCACTGTAGCACCACAGCTTCCTTCCACCAAGAATCATGTAATAAGCTTCATTACATTGTCAAGTCAAACATGGGTCCTTTTGACCAATCAGCGCCAAGTATGCACGTTCTCTGATTGCCAGGATTCCCTCAATGAATACTATCATGGAGACCTTATTATGCCATTCTTTAAAGTGCACTTTCCCATTGGCCCATTGCCAGTATGGGCCAATCACAACTTCCCAAGCCTAGGAACAAACGTACTCCCGTTGCCAGCCAATTACAAATGCACTTCATGCCTATTTCTTCTGGTTGCAATTCAAAACGACTGTTTTTTTTTAACCATCCCTAACTTAGGCTGTTGAGAGATGATGATCTCCATGCTTTATTCCATTTCAGTTAGCAGCCCCAGTTCTACAGCAGCTGGCATGCCCACTACCTTTCCAGCACTCGATCACTGTCCTGGACAACCATCTTCTGTTTTGGTGCTGGTGGCTTGCTTTTTCTTTAATCATTTTTCAGTTGATTCAATAATGGCCTGCACCTCAATTAATCATCCTTTCAGATTTTGCCTTAACTGGGTGAAGTATGCACCTCTTGCTTTCTTAATCCCGCTCGCAGTCCTGCAGAGTTTCCCTTTGTGTTATTTTAAAAACAACTTTAAGTTGCAAAGGTACATTGTTAATTTTATTTCTGTGAAGCTCAATTATTCTTTGCTGTAAGGTTTTTGTAGACTGAAAGAACAACATTCTCCCTATTACTTTGATTATTGTAGCATAAGGGAAAAAAGAGAAAAAATAATGCCTTTGTTGATGTCAAAAGTAATATGGGAAGGGATGAATCTGTCCATTTGTGCAAACTTTGGGGCTCCAATGGCAGGCATTTGTAGACCAGTCCACACTGAACCCAGCCAAGCAAGGTATACTTTTCCTGCATAGATGGGATGGGCAAGAAGCAGAAGAATGACCAGTCAATTCTATTTGTGCCACAGTCTAAGCCGAACAGTAGGCCATCCATGTTACCAATTTACTGCAATCCAGATTGAAGTTGGTTTAAGAAACAGAACAGTATGGGGAAGTAGCCCGCAGTGCAAAATTGCACTTTATCTTCAGCTTCTTTTTGAAAACTGATTAATCAGGGTTTTAGAAGTGCCCTATTTTTGACTGGCTTTGTTACACTGACCAGCCAGACATCTGTGGGCATGGTTTGTGTTCTTATATCCTAGAAAGTGATACAAATTGCTGTTGTAACTAACCTGGCTGTTGTAAAGCAAACACTCTCCTGTGCTGTTGCCTAGTAGGTTATAATACAATTTGGCTACTTTGCCTTTGACTCAAAGCATATTGTATAGACTCAGACCAGAGGGGGTTTCAGCAGGTTCTGACCAGTTCTGGAGAACTGGTAGCGGAAATTTTGAGTAGTTCGGAGAACCGGTAGTAAAAATTCTGACTGGCCCCACCCCCATCTATTCTCTGCCTTCCAAGTCCCAGCTGATCGGGAGGAAGTAGGGAATTTTGCAGTATCCTTCCCCTGGAGTGGGGAGGGAATGGAGATTTTGCAGCCTCCTTCCCCTGGAGTGGGGTGGGAATGGAGATTTTACAGTATTCTTCCGCTGCCATGCCCACCAAGCCATGCCATGCCCATCAAGCCACAGAACCGATAGTAAAAAATTTTGAAACCCACCACTGACTCAGACCATTTTAAGTTGATCTAATAACAGTTTGGGCTGCGTATATGTTACTTTTCTCATAGCAGATGTAGAACATTCTTCCATTCCCCGAGTGAACACTTAAAACTAACTATATATCAGTTTAATTTTCCCTCTCTCTCTCTTTTACTCCCCATTCAAGCCTGAAAGAATCAACCCGGAACTAAACCAAAAGGGCTACAGTGTAAAATCTGATATTTGGAGTCTGGGGATTACAATGGTAAGAATACATTACTGAGGAATGATGCTGGGATTAATTTTATTATTTATTCTATTCTGCTGACTTTTGCAACTCAAAATCCTTGTAATCTGAAATGGGTTTAACTGCATTTAAATTAAGGAGGCCTGTAGCCTAAACATATGGGTTCAAAAAAGGGGGAAATTGCATGGAAGATTCTTGAGTGAATTGATTGTGTTCTGTTGGCAAGTCATTGTAAAAGAATTTAGAGCTGACCTTGGAGAAGGGATGAGAGAGAGACACTAAGGGGAGAAGGAGAATGAGCTTTTCAAGGGGGACCTGACCTTCTAAGAGCTTACACAGTCCCACGTAGAATCTTGAAAACTGTTTTCTGAATCCCATTTTATATGAAACCAAATCAAGGTGGGGATATTTTGAGTTTCTTTCACATACTTCCTTCTATCTCTGGACTGTATAATCTCTTGTCCAGGTTTCTCCGCCTCTCATGATTTCCCCCAAAGTCCGCTTAAATTCCTTTAGGGTCATACTCATGAATCCCTATAGTATTTTACGCCCTTCCAAAGAAACAGTTTTCAAGATTCTATGGTACCATTCAACAATAAAGCAGCATTCCTTGAACTCCTAATGCACGGGTGTCAAACTCGATCGCGTCATGTGAGGTATCGTGACTTTTTTGCCTTTGTGGAGCTGTGGTGGATGTGGCCTGTGCATGACGCATTCAGCCCGTGGGCCACCAGTTTGACAGGCCTGCTACTTTTCTTCTTGAAAAGAAGCTGAGCTGAGTCTTGAAAACCTCTTCAAGTTTCTCTCTGTCTCATTTTATACTCCACAAAGTCAAGGCAAGGTTTACCTTGAGTTTCTCTCTCACACTTTTTTGGGACTATGTAGGGTAGGTAAGCATCCTTTTAGAAAGCATCCTGACTGGCTCTTATTGATTGATTGATAAACGAGTATGCAGTTAGTTCCTGACCCATTCCCCCCTCTTCCCATAACTGTTTGAATTCAGCTGCATATAGAAAGAAAATAAATGTTCAGCTTGTTTTTATTTTGCTTGTCTTGTTTGTGTTTTGGGCACCTGCCTGAGTTGTACCCTTTAATTGATTTCACGACATGGTCCCCTCCCTCCCTCCCTCTCTCTCCCTCCCTCTCTCCCCTCCTCTCTTTCCCCCTCCCTCCCTCCCCCCTTATTGATTTTATTTTTTGCTGCAAAATGATTTGATTTTCTGGCCAAAAGCCAGATTATATTTTCAATCACCCTCATGAAATAGGAGTGAAAGAATAAACAGTTCAGGGAAGCCTGGTCAGAAAAAAGAAAAAGAAAACCAAACCAAACCCTTTCAGAATCAGAATTTACTCAGCACTACGTTATCTATAACAGCATAATTTATAAACTAGTCCCCAATTGGTCCATGTGGTTGGCAAAGAGTTTATCCATTTAAATTTAGAATGAGCTTTTTATAATTTCTTCAGAAATGGAAGAATCTTAGCAGGTCCAGCTGTCGTCCTCAGCCATGGTTCTGCATTGCTTGTGATGAATATTGAAAAACCAGGCAGCAACATACGTGGGTTGCGTGTCTGCAAACAGAAAAAAAAAAAGCCCTATAGCAACCATCCATCACAAAGCTTGTTCCATTGGCACCATGCCTGCCGGAGGAAAATACGCATTCGGGATGAACATTAAGGTTTCTGCTAGCAAGTCAGAATCATTCTCTTGGGAATGATTAGTCCCCTTTTGTTGCAACAGCTCTCTTAGGCTGGGCAAAGAGAGGAAAGCAGACTCTCTCCTGGCACCCTGTGTCTTCTGGAGAAGCTGTGGGTACGTGGCACAAACCAGAAGAACTCGCCTCACATATTTAAAAGCTGCAGCTTTGAAATATTCCCAGAGACATGCTGTCTCCAGAGACTTGCACAGGCTGTGCCTCAGAGGCACCAAATGAGCCCAGTGTTTCTAAGGAAAAATGGAAGAGGGAGGGGGGAGAAAAGCACAGCCTCCAGTGCAGAAATCATTAAAAAAATAAAAAATAAAAATGAAGGTGTAATTTCAGCTCTCAACCTGCAGGTGGCAGCATGCAACAACATTGGATTGAGTTTGTGTTTCTTTATGGCAGTAGCCTTTTCATATTTTTCTTTGGGGAGAAGTGGGGGGGGAGGAGGGAGAGAAGAGTCACAGGAAGATGTCTTGATGTCTCCCTGTCTTTTGTTTTTGGACCTTAGATTGAATTAGCAATCTTGCGGTTTCCATATGACTCCTGGGGGACGCCGTTCCAGCAGCTCAAACAGGTAGTGGAAGAACCATCACCACAGCTCCCTGCAGACAAGTTTTCAGCTGAATTTGTTGATTTTACCTCACAGTGGTAAGAACATTCTCCCTGAATCATGGAGAAGTCAGATATCGCTTCATTAACCTTTGAATTTGCTCACATATTACTGGGGGCATACAGGTGTATGCCGACATGCTGACCAGAGATAAACGCAGCTTAAAATCACGCAGTTGCTTCCAAAATGCACTGCAATCCCAAATGGGAGAGGATGCCTAGATTGTCTGTAAAATGAGTTGTTTCTCACAAAAGGAGAAATTGGCAAGGGGGAAAAAAAAAAAACCAGTTGCTTATGAATTGCTTTCTAACTGCAACCCAATCAGTCTTTTAATACAAATATTGGAATAGGAGTGCAGTCGTTGTTCAGGAAGGTAATTAATTTGAATCTCAGTTACACATGGTCTTGTTTTTAAGTCCTACAACACTTATCCTTTAAAAATGAAACATGGATGAAAATGGGCACAACACCAAAGGTCTCTGCTACTCAAACTAATATTTATTGCACACAACTAGTCCTAACAACCACGCTAAAATTTCTTGTTGTGTCCCCTTCCTCTTTCTCTGTGCTTTACATGTCTCGAGCTGCAAACTGTAATGTTCTTAGGGCTGGGAACAGATCTGTTAACTTGTGTTTTTAAAGCATTGGCTTTACATTATGTGATGGGTTGAATATTACTTTTGAATGAGAACAATTGGGCACCCACATATCTGTCTCTGGTCTTCACAGTTTTCTCTTTTAAAAACAGCAGAAAGGTGGGTGGGCTAATTGCTTTTTCAGTTCTGCTCAGATCTCCAGATGTATTGGCGCTTAACTCACAATGCTGCAGACCTGGCCATCCCATTGCACTGAGTTTCTCCCAGGAGCATGAAGGAGAAGGGAAGGGCTTTGCTTTCTTCCAGATGTCCGGCTGCAGCTGTATCATTATTATGTCTTGTAAAAACTCTTTCCACAAAAGTGTCTTGCTCTTTTTATTCTTTCCAACCCAGAAATCAAACATGCTGAAGGCTCTGCCTGTCTATCAACAGAATAACTCTCTGAAAAAAAGAACAAATGCAACCAGATTTGCAGGGGGAAGCCAACAAAAGAAAGGTTTTGTTTGAAATTGGCTGGACTTGTCCAGGGGATGCGAAAAACAATTCCCAGTAGAGTTATGTAGCATTTTGGAATTCTGCTGACTGCTTATTTCTGTCCCCACTTTTTAGGTGACACAGTGTCACATTTGCAACCTATCAGACCCAACCCAAGGAAAGAATAAAAACCTAGGAGCTACACATACACATACACACCTGTCCTCAAAACATACAGAGAGAAAAAACACAGGTGGTTCTCGACTTACAACCATAACCGAGCCCCAAATTTCCATTGCTATGCAAGACAGTTGTTAAGTGAATTTTGCACCATCTTGCAACCTTTCTTGATACAGTTGTGAAGTGAATCTGGCTTCCTCATTGACTTTGCTTAATCAGAAGGTTGCAGAAGGTGATCACATGACCCCGGGACACTGCAACAGTCATAAATCCATGCCAGTTGCCAAGCATCCAGTTTTTTGATCATGTGACCATGGTATGCCCTAATGGTTGTAAAGGGCCTGGTGGCTCAGCAGACTTGATAGCATTGTGATTAACACCAGCTGTCTGCAATTACTGTAAGTTCGAATCTCACCAAGCTCAAGGTTGACTCAGCCTTCCATCCTTTCTAAGGTAGGTAAATTGAGGACCCAGTTTGTGGGGGCAATAAGCTGATTTTGTATAAATATACAAAAGTATGGAGGCTATTGCTTAACGCATTGTAAGCCGCCCTGAGTCTCCGGAGAAGGGCGGCATAGAAATCAAATTTTTTAAAAAATGGGAAAAACAGTCATAAGTCACTTTTTTCAGAAATGTAACTTTGAACCATCACTAAGCAGTTTTAGGTTGGGGACTACCTGTACTTTATTATGCTGAAGAAATACTGTTAGAATATTCATGACTGGGAGGACATGGTTACAAGGTCAGCCAATGAATAGGCATAGCAATTAAGTCAGGCAATGGGAGCGGAGACAGACTGGAGCCAGGGCGTGTCTTAGTCTGCAGCTTCTGAGTCTGTGCAGAGAAACGAAACTGAAACCAGTGTGTGTGTGTGAACTCATCTGCTGATCTGAGCTGAAATGAAATTGTGAATCTGCTGTTGGTATTGTAAACTTACTTCATGTATTATTGTGGATATAAAGAAGTTAATGAATCCAGCTGAATCAGTTATCTGTGTGTGCTTCTGGATTTGATTTTTGCAAGAAACACTGACAAATACAGACACCTCCTATGAATGCCACGACTAAAGATGTTGGAAAGAATTCCAGCCTCTTCATCTTTCCCTCCATTGATATGTTTATTAAATATGTTCATTGGAAATATAGCTGACAGATATTTCTAATGAATTTATCATTTTCTATGCTAACCTTGAGGGAGATGAGCAGTCTAGAAACATGAAATATAAATAAATGAAATAAAATAAATGTTGACACTTGCTTATAAACTAGAAATCCCAGTATATAAAACAAAGCTTGCAAGGGGCAATAATCCATGTTACGTTAAAAAAAAACCTAAAGTATTGAATACTGAGTATTCATTCTGAATTACTCCTAACCTTGTAATAAACATTGCCAAACAAAATAAACAAAGGAAAAACAGATGAATGTTGTGAAATAAAAAATCTCAAACCTCTTAGTGTTTCAAAACTGTTTTTAGCATAGCAGGTTTCCGTATCCTTTAAGCTTGGGTGTCATACAAAGTCTTCTGTTCATTTTCTTGTTTGCCAAGGATAAAGTGGTCCCAGCAAGAATCAGTAGTTGAGAGTTCAGATTGGATCAGCCTGGAATTAATGGGAAAAATGTAACTAAACAGAACATGAGAATCCTAATCTGTGTGGCCTGTGATCATTGCCTGTTAATAGTGACTGTTAAGTTTAGTGGATCTGAATTTAGGAAAAAGGAAATATTACCCAAAAAACTTTTGAGGTAGAGAACACAAAAAACAGAGAAAGGTCTACAAATGTTAAGATGGAGTGAAAATGAGGTTAAAACAATAGAGAAAGAACAACAAAGGGAAGTAGAAGCTATGCAAAGAGAGAGAAGGAAATAGAAGTTGGTATCTTACATCAAAAGTAGTTACGTATGTTTTTAATTTCCCACATAGAAGGCAAAGAATTGGCAAAAGGGAAAGTAGGGTTAAGCTATTGTGCTAAAATTATGAGCTGGCCTCTCTAACTTGGGCTTCTTCTGAAATCCTGATAAACCTATTGTTCTCTAGAGTTGTGGGTTGATTTGTTACTATTGTTACTATTTGTTACTATTGTTATGTCTGTGCTGGTTTCTGTAGGCCTGTTGGGTGTGTTGTAATTATTTTCTGCATAGACTTACTCTCATAAAGTTATTTTGTATTTTTTAAATCTATATTCTCTGAGCCTAGACAAAATATATCTTTTGCCTAGAATAAAATTACTTTCCGAGATCTCTAAATAGTGAGGTGGCCACAATAAGATTGCAACGATAGTAGGTCTTACTTATGTTATCCTGTCAGTCTTGGAAGGTGACACATTATACCCAATCTTTGCAAGTTTAGCTTCCTGAGTTCTGATTGCTTAAGGAATTTGTGTATAAATAAATACAAATAATTCTAAAAAAAGAAAAACAAGGAAGACAATTTTTCCGGTCTGGTTATTATATATATATATATATATATATATATATTGTGGGTTTTGGAAGTGGGTTTTTTAGTGGACATTCATTCATGACTATTAAAGAACCATCCTGAAGCTTTCTATAAAAGCTTCATTGTTTTGAAAACAGGCAGAAGCCCTCAAAGGAAATGGTCAAGGTACAGTAAGATTGTCCTTTACGCAAACTGGCTTTACTTCCACTGCTTTCTTCCTGAGCTAAGCCATGTGCGTCTCAGTGAACTTTTTCTAAAGGACTATTCAGGAAATGTCACATTGACCTCCCAGAAGTTTATGGAGGAACTACGATTGGTTTCTCAGAATTTTAAGCCATTTTTGGGGGTGGGCAAGATACCCTCAGAAATAAAATTGTGGTAAGAAATAGGGTCAGGGAATTAAAATTAGTGTGGAGAAAGCAATGTAGTTCTTTCATTTTTTAAGTTTGTACATAAGAGTGACATTAAATGGAATTCTGCTCTTTTGTCAAACGATGCTTGGCAATATTCCTCGTATTGCTTTGGAGGCATTTATATCTATTTGGGAGCATTCATCTGGAACTGCAGAGCAGCCCTTTCACTGAGAATGGAAAAATAAAAAGCTTGATGGCTAGCTTTTCTATAATATAGCTCAAATCTGTTCAAAGTAGTTAGTAATATGGTGGAAGTTGCCTGAATCCTGTGTCTCACAGTATGCAAAACAATAATGTATCCAACTTCATTTTGTTGTATTTCTTTTTCTTTGTTTATCTTTGAACAGTTGTTTCCAGACTATATCCAGGAGCCTATTAAAAGTCTGTGAGATTGCTGCAGTACGAACACCAAAATAAAACGTCTAGAGAGCTCACTAGAGCTCACAAAGTGTTGCCAGTATCATTTGAAATGTCATAAGATTTAAAACAAGAACATCAAAGTGTCACAAGATGTGGTGATTTTACAAAATTTTCAGCCTTTTTATAATAAAAAAAGGCTCCCATAGACACTATCAGGAAGGTGGCATTTCCCCTGAAGCCCACTAATATGTGTTGCCAACACTTGCTTAAAAAGAAGTAACTTTTTATCTGTTTAATTTTAGCAGCTAAAATATTTGTCTAACATAGGTAAATTAGATAATGTAACAGTTGAGATAGGGATTAACAAGGCTTCTTAAATTGCCACACTAAAAAGAATCATGTAAAGTTAAAAATATCAAGATATCAGAAGCAGGAACAACTACTATTAAATTTGGAGGGGCTTTATGGTTTACCTTGATGGCAATAGATCATAATACTGTATACATATGATAAATTTGTATAAGTACAGTACTTTGTCTTTACTGATTTTTTTTAGATTTTTTTTTTTTTTTGCAT